TTGTGCTGCAGAGCTGAGAGCAAGTGGCAGTTGTGGGTGGTTAGCTTTTTGTTCTGGGAGGCAGGAGTAGGACGGACCAGCTGCAGACGCTCACTGGGGTGCAGTGGGTGGAGATGAGAGCAGGTGCCCCAGCTCTGGGGCCAAACCACCTTTGAGTGCCACCTGTGCTATTCTTGCCCAAGGTTCTCAGATCTTGTTTTGTTTTGTTTTAAAGAAGCCAAATATCCAGATTTTTATGTAAAAGCTTTCAGTTAAGCATTGCCTACTGATTTCAAGTTCTAAAGAAATGTTACACCGGTTTAATAATCTGAACAGAACGGCCTCATTCTCTTTCAACTCCAGGATTCTGTGAGTTTCAGTGTGATCTATGGTGTACCCTTTCTTAGGTGGTACTTAGCAATACACAGGTAGTCTTTGAGTTTTCAAAAATCCTGGCCCCCAAGGGAATCAGCAGTTAGTGTAATGGCTATGTTGCTGGACTCCCACGTAGTCGACTGCGGTTTGCATCCTGGACCCGGTGGCTTAAAACTCAGGCTGGGCATGTGTGCGTGCGTGCCCAAGATCTCGAGAGGAGAATGAAGGAGAAGGGATTGTGGCATGACCATCCCCCCTGGGGTGTGATTTCTCGCTTTCTGTCTCTATGTCTCTCTCTGTCTGTCTGGCGAGCGCACGCGCCCTATAGCAAAAACCTCTCCAAAAAAAAAATCCTGGTCCCCAACAGACTTATGCTGTTGCCTAGAAGTGACCCCCCCCCCAATGTGTCTCACATTAGAATCTTTGTTTCTTTTTTAAGAATTATTTAACTTTATTTGTTTTAATTTGACCAGAGAGGGACAGAGAGAAGGAAAGTGAGAAAGCAAGCTGCCAGGTCCGGGACTCGAACCGTGGTCAGCCATGTGGGAGTCTAGCACCCTTAACCACCATGCCACCTGCTGGCTCCAGCTCACATTAGAACCTTTTGAAGGTCCCAAAGCCCAGACCTCATCCAACACCAGTTAAATCACAAGCTCTGGGAGCAGTAATAGGCATATTTTCTAAAGTTCTGGTGATTCTAATGTGCAGACAAGTTCAGGTACCACCATCCTAGGTCCTAAGAGCCAAGTTACCTTAGAAAGTTCTTACCAGCTTGTTCTCATTCCCTCCAAAGTTGCACCCTGCCCTATCTCATTTAACCTGCCATGTTGATCCTGTCAGTATGCGAGCAGTATCATCCCTTCTGGGTAGAATCCTTTCCTTTTTTTTTTTCTTTTTTCCAAAGGACACATGCACTTGCCACTAGAGACAGCTACAGAGAAAGAGAGGGAAAGTGAGAAAGCAACACCCCCCCTCCCCATGGGGTATGGTCATGCCTCAATTCCCTTTCCTCTGTTTCTTCCTCCTTTCTGGATTTTGGGCACACACCCAGCCTACGTGTTTTTCAAACTACCAGGTCCAGGACTCAAACCACACAGCCAGCCAGGTGGGATCCAGTTGCCTTACCCACCAGACCAGGGGCTGACTCAGAATTCTTTAAAGCAGATCTGTAAACCCAGGCTGTCTTCAGTTAGCAGTTGAGTCAGCAGAGGGCAGTAGACCCAACCCAAAGAACCATATGTTAGTGATTCTTCAGTCCCCTAGATGAAAATAACAACTCATAAAACATTCAATTTCAGATGTCTTCATATTTTTAATTATTATTACATATGACAAGTAAGTTTGGAAAAACAGACCTGGTAACACTTAGCTATACAACTAAATGTATTTTATGAACTGGTAAACAGAGATTATCTTAATTATTGGAGTACCACCAGACACATACCAAATATCAAATGAATGAAAGCATGAATTAATGGAGTGGGTGATTACTAAATGTAATTTATGAACTCCTGGTGAACAGAGATTATCTTAATTATTTTTGAATTGGAGTACCACCAGACACATACCAAATATCAAGTGAATGAAAGCATGAATTAATGGAGTGGGTGATTATAGATTGCTGTTCCAAACATCTCTTTTAAAATAGTCATCATATGCCTATGGGATCAAGTTTCCCTTAATGTTTTCAAAGGCTGCCTAACAATTCGATGAGTTTTTAAAATATGAAAGAAAATAAAACATAGCTTTCTTAATTGGTCAGTTGAGAATTTTTTGTTAACTTATACTGACACATGCTGAGTCGGGGGTAATATTAGCAACTACCCAGTGATGCTGGTTGAAAAGACCAGTACTGACGGTCATGATTTGAGGATAACTGGTGTATCCGCAGCTGTCCTGGTCCTGGGATGAATGAGACTGTATACCTGCATGTGTAACACACTCCATGTCCTTGCAGCAGGGAGAATGTGTCACCTAACATATTGAAGATGTCCCTCAATGTTAACTTAAGGTTTATCAGTGAGAATTTTAGTACCTGTCAGGCAAAATTAGCCTTACATTAAATAAGAATATAGAAGCATTAGAAAAACAATCTCAACAGCCCCCAAAGCAATGCAGCAAAGGGAGCCTTTGTTTTTTTTTAAAGTGTGGAGTGTCTAGCTGTGGATCATAATAGAAAGATACCTTTCATCACTCTGCAGAGGCCACTGCTCAAGCTACAAATAATGGAGAAGACAGTGTATGTCTCAGCTTCCACTAAAGGAGAAGAGAATTTGGAATGAGAATTTCAAACACAGTGTAACAACAGAAACACTAGAAATCAAAGTATTTGGGATCCCTACTTGGCAAGCAATGGTTGACCTCATCTTAAAAGTGAAGGCCCTTAGAGTGTAGTAATGATTCAGTTTTACAAATAAAAAGATCTCTTTATTGCTTAGATTTCCAAAGAAACAAAATAGTCAACAAATAATATCATTCCTCCTCCGTTCCTCTAATGATACTGAGAAACTGGGAAATAACGAAATATTAGGGCAGAAGGGAAATGTGCAATAATACAGGTCTTTTAGGATATAGAAAAGATAAAGTAACTTATGAAGCTTTAACAGAAACAAATCAAGGTCGAGAGGACACAGCCCTAGAACTTCAACTTCGATTCAGTTTAGGGGAGAGAGAACCAGGAACAAAAGCCATAAGGAATGCAAAACTAGTAAAAGTATTGATTTCAGGAATATATGCCGTTTGCAAAAATGTTTGCTATTCTATAATGTCAACAAAAGAGCCAAAGGTTAGCTTTGAATCTTAACAGGTTTTTTTTTGGTAATACCAACAAAAATCCTTACAAGTTTGACAGAAACTTACTGCCCCTGACATAGGTCTCTGAAGCTAGTTAGACCTAACAGTCTAATTTAGAATTTGAAATATCTGGGGTTTTCTTTTCTTTTCCTTTTCCTTTTTTTTTTTTTTTTTTTTTTTTTTTAAGTAACAGAGAGCTTGCCATGTTGCCCAGGATGGCCTTGAACTTGGAATCTTCCCACTTTAGTCTCCCGAGTCACTGGGGTGCAGGCATACACCACCACACCCAGCTCTCAGGGTGTCACTGTTGTGCACGCTGACTATGGGCTCATCACTCTCCCTCACTATCCTCGGCTGCTAGGACTGCAGGCGCATGCTACCACACCCAACTTTTAGGGCTCAGAATCAAACCCAGGCCGCCCATGTGATTTCAGCCTGCAGAGCAGCAGTATCCTCGGGATGCTGTCATGGCTGACCTTCTATCTTAATTTTTTATTCCAATTGAAATGAGGTTTACCAGATACCATAGTACAAAGGAAAATTAGATACTAGTTTGGAGTTCATCTGAAAAGTTTAAAGAACAAAAAGAAAATAACCCTGTTTCTGTAAGGGTCTGGAAAGCACCCATGATCACAACCAATTTCTTTAATGAGGTAGATCTAATAGACATTCATACCTTCATTTAGATTGCAACCATATGAACTGTTTGGAGTGCAGTGGTTGAAAAGTTGTACAAAATTGAGCAAAGTGTTTAGAAGAGACCTAAAATTTAAAAGGAAAAGAATACTGAAACTAGATGTCACTAAGTATGTATTTCTTACAAAGTTTATTCCTAATGTGAGCAGAGTAATCACAAGTGAATGTCGGGAGCAATAATAAAACTTGGGCATGTAGCCGGCATTATAAAGAATGGGTTCTGTGGACATACACATGCAGAAAGATTCTGTCATGAGCATTTCACTGTAGCCGTCAGAGATGGTGGGTATATGTATGTTACAGAGAACGGAGAAGCCTGGGGCCCCGGACTCCTTTTGCTGTGACTTTGTACATATTGCAACTGCCCTGGGCCTCAATTTCATCATCCATAAAATTAAGGGATCTGACCAGAAGACCACTAAAATCCCAGCTTTACAACTCTTGTTTTCTGCAATTTGTTTGTAATGGGATTGGTGTTAGTCCAGTCCCATCAACCTCAATGTCAGGAGCTATGCATAAAACAGACTTGGAGGAAACCTGGTCTTATAAACCAAAGGCCAAATTCTTCCCCAAACCATATGATTTTTCCTACCTTGTCTCCTGCCTTTAATTCCTTATCTTCCACCTTGTGTTTTTTTTTAGGAATGTTGAGATTTTTCATTTGAAGATAATCTTAATGCTATTATGAGAACTGAACCAGGGAAGGTGGCTTGCCTGGGGCTAGTAAATGACAAAGCCAGGACTAGAATCCTGAACCAGCAATCTTAAATCCATCATTCTTTCCTCAAATCCTACTACCGGCTTTGCTTCCCACCCTGTCAAAAAGCAAAAAAAAAAAAAAAAATCTGAAACTAGGAATGTTGGGGAGGCATCTGCTAGATAGAGAAGCAGATGTTACTTAGGTAAAGTATAGATGGGACACATTAATGACTAAAGACTGGCTTTGTGGGTACATGGCAGACCATTTCCGTAATCTCTGCCCAAGGCCTTGAAGTTAAAGGAAGCTCTTGGGCAGGGGAGAGGGAGGGCAGGATATCTTTGATGACATTTGGAGGATAAATACAACTTTGGTGGAAAGTGATTAAAATTTTCCAGACGAAGGAAATTCAACTCAAGGACCTAAGCAGAGAAAGATGGCCCAGTCCAGCTAACGCAACTGAAGTGACTCATGCCTCGGAAGGGTTCTCGTTTGTTGTAGTCATAGGACCTCAGGGAGAGGAACGGGTTTGTCCATCTAAGACTAATAGCATCACCGCTCTAGCTGTAGCCGCTGACTCTGATTTTGACAGGTTTAATAATGCAGGTCTATTAGGATATTAAAAAGATAGGAATAAAGTAAGTACAGGTTCATTGTTGCTGTTGGTGAGATGCAAAGAACCAGTGAGATGGGGGTTTTATGACACTAATTATCTTCATAAGGGAACCAACCACTCAAAACGCCAAAGTGCAAACAAAAGAGCTCTAAAACTAAAGGGAACAAGAGGGAAGAGGGTATTCAGCAAGGAATAAATGGCTTCTGTTGCTTAGCTAATGAGATTTCTTTTAAAATCAATGAACTGGGATCTGTGGAAGCACAGGAACCAATACCAATAACAAATACTCAGCTCTTTCGAGGCATATAATAAACATTTTTCCTTCTTATTTTTATACTGTAGAACTCCAGGAAGTCTTAACTCATGATACTAAGAATTTGACTAGATCCCATAATATTAAGATAGTAAACAAGATATAACACACTAAACAAAAAACTTGAGTAATTAAAATTAAGAATAAGAAATCCACTTATATTGAAAAAATGATAAATGTAGGTATCCTGAGATTCTCAACTATAAAAACACAGTACCCTCAATACGAAAGGCTGTCACAATGATTAAATAATGGAAAATCCTTAGCAGTGTCTGGCACGTAATACATGTTCAACAAATGGCAGCTGTTATCATTACAACCAGGATGAAGAATAACTTCACTAATAAGAGCTTTCAAACTGGACTAATCACTACCTCCCTGCTCCACCTTCATTTTAAGCACACTGACATAATCACTGTGAGGCGACCTCATGGCTTTTGATTGAGTCATTAACTAGAGCTCATAGCGTTTGACTAAACCATTAGATCTCACAAAACCAAAAACTGTACTTAAAACTAAGATGAGGGAAAAAGAAAAAGTCACCTGAGTAGGCATGGCTAACAAAAACATTTTTAAGCAGCATTCATAAGGCAAGGGCTCACAATACACAAAAGATAAGTAAAAGAAAAGGCAATTCAGAAGTCAAAAATTTAAGGAAGTTGCTGGACATAAGCCCTAATGAAAAGTTAAAAAAAAAAAGTATTTCGACATAAGCCGAAAAGTTAAAAAAAAAAAAAAAAGTATTTCCAAAGGAAACTAGATTCTAGATAAACATGCTAGATTCATGTTTATCTAATTTGAAAACAATTCAAGGGCTGGCTTTGGCGCACAACAGTGATGTGCTGCTCAAGAAAAGCAGGACAGCACATGGCAACGGTGGTTCAAATCCCTGGCTGGTCAGCCTGAATCACGCCAGGCATGCATGTGAGCGCCCGAGATCTGGAGAGCTCGAGGACTGGAAGAAGGACCGTGGAGGGACTAGTCCCTCTGCAGGATGCCCATCTTTCCCTCCACCTGTTCTCACATTTGTGTATGTG